ACAGTAACCACCCCCCTCCTTCATTTGCTGCAGAACGTGAATTAATTCACGTTCTGCAGCAAATGAAGGAGGGGGGGCTGGTTACTGTAACCAACCCATTTGGTTTTGGGCTGAGTCCGGCCTAACCCACTGATCTGGGCCGAGTCCGGCCCAATTAATAAAAAAATTAATTTTTTTATATTTTTATATTTTTCTCTTTTTATTATTTATGCCTTTTTTGCTTAGTATTGGTCTATATTTTTGTCAAAAAAAAAATATATAAAAATACGGTATTAAAAATACCCGAGTTTTTTTATCAACTAAAAAAAAATTAAAATCAACAAAAAAAAATGTTTTTGTGCATACGGCCAAGTGTCTCAAAGCTACAAAAAAAAAAAATCATATTGTATTTTTCATACATCAAAAACAATATTTTAGCATGCATTTTGGCTTTAATAACCAGTTTATTAAAGTCAAGAGAACATTGGCCAAAATATCAAAAACAATAAAAAAAATTTTGTTTTGTTTAGTATCAGGGATTATGAGGTTATACGTAACACGTATTCTTGATTTTAAAAGTTTCTTTGGTTTTAGATACACATATAATTAGATACCACAACATGATTTCATATTTTATCAGACAAAACAATGCAGCCTACCTTAGGTAGGGCGTAGTCGGGGTGCTAATACCTTCCCTTTACGCAACCAGTCTCCGTACCCGATCTCTAAAGACCAGTTAGGGTTCCTAGTTACCAGAATACTAGGTGGCGACTCCCATTCAATGTTTTCACTGATAAGAGACAAGAATTCCTTGTCTCTTCATATCTTACTAGAAATACACCACATCCCATCGTTAGCATGGATGGTGGATGATCGTCGCGATGCCGCACACGTGCGACAATCTTGATGAAAAAAATAATGAATGTTAGACTTGATTAACTAGTCAGGTTAGGAATAGTTAATGATATCAATAGACGATGTTGGTATCGATAAACCTAAGATAATTTAATTAACTTCCCAAGAAGGAGCTTGACACGACGAAAAGATTGATATCTTCTCCCAAGTGCAGGAGTGTTAAAGTTTAATGACACTACTTACCTCATTATTGGGAATGAATCTTTAAAATATTTGATCAGGACAATATTTGAATAAGTTAGGGTCATCACAATAAAAGCTCTTCACTTCGTTCAAAAACTTTTCTTTGTCTTGGGTACTCCAACCAGCTGGCAAATCTCCTAAAGCAAGAAAATTAATATTTTTATCATACCAAGGCATTGAACTAAGAGAAAGTAAGGATTTGTTAGGAAAGTAATCATCGATTGGTGTGATGTCAGATGTCGAATCTGTTGTCACTGTTGACAAAAGATTCGCATCAACATTTTCGGTGCTTGTTTCATTCGTGATTTCTTCCTCAGAATAAACCATTTGCAAATCTTCAGTTTCATCCAATTCATTTTTACTTAAAGTAGATTCAAGTTGATCATAAACTAATTCATCAATATGATCTACTTCTTGTAAATCATTATCATCTCCAGGTTGCTTGCAAATGTTGAAAATATTCATCTCCAATGTCATGTTTCCAAATGATAGCTTCATCAGTCCATTCCTACAATTAATCAATGCGTTAGAGGTTGCAAGAAACGGACGTCCTAAAATAACAGGAAATGAATTACATGCTTCAACAGGTTCTGTGTCCAAGACAATAAAATCCACAGGATAAATGAATTTATCGACTTGTACTAACACATCTTCAATTATTCCTCTAGGCACTTTTACAGATCTATCGGCAAGTAAAAGAGATATAGAAGTTGGTTTTAACTCACCTAGATTGAGACTCTGAAAAACTGAATATGGAAGTAAATTCACACTAGCACCAAGATCAAGTAAGGCTCTTTCAATTTTATGCTCTCCAATAAAGCAAGAAATTGTAGGACAACCAGGGTCTTTATATTTCAAAGCATTATTATTCTGAAGAATAGCACTTACTTGTTCGGCTAGAAAGGCTTTCTTTTTCACATTCAGTTTCCTCTTCACAGTGCATAGATCTTTCAAAAATTTAGCATAGGAAGGAACCTGTTTAATAGCATCCAGCAAAGGTATATTGATCCTTACCTGTTTGAAAATTTCATAAATTTCAGAATTGTGATTGACTTTCCTTTGTTTGGTCATGGCTTGAGGAAATGGAAGTGCTGGCGGTGAATCAGTCGTTTCTTTGCAATTTTCAGATTCAACCCCTTCCTTACCCTCAAAGATTGACTCATCATCTTTCTCATAAGGTTCAAGAGAGGGTTTTTCAATAACCTTACCACTGCGCAGAGTAGTGACTGATTTGACTTGATCCATGTGTTGGCTTCCGGAACTACTTGTTTTTTTTATGAGCATCAAATGAACACAATTAACGGCTTCCTCCACCTCTAAAACAGGAAAAAGTTTCCAAATTTCTTCCATAATCCATCAAGAAGATGAAGTAAAAGAATTACCAGCTGAAAGAGCAGGTCATTTGATACCCCACGAAACAAGTACACTTTATCCACAAGTGAATAAAAGAGATAGTTAGAAATGCTCGATCGAATTGCTTTAGGAAGAGAACCAATGGTCTCTTGTTGATGCAATCCCTCCGAGTCGGTTCTGTACTTCAAACATAAATGAGCAAGCATCTGTTCTTGTAACCGAATCGGAAGGCGGTTCCTTTGTGCAAAACTTGAGACAGCTTGGATAGTATCTCTCTGAAAATTCCATGCAAGTAATGTCAATAGTCTAAAAAAGCTTTAATACACTTGAAAACCAAATGATTAAGGTAGAGATAATTCATTTAATCAGTTACAGAATCTACCACAGGCTTGCTAGGCAAGCAAAACACAGATCGTAAGACAAGTTACTCACAAATTGCCTTGTTCGGAATGTGGCATGGACAACCAAATTGGTCATGTTTCCAATCAAATATGATGTCAGTCCAAGATTAAACATCATGTAGAACATGACGAATATCATCTCCTGCGGATTGACAGCATGCAAATCACCATATCCAGTGGTAGAGAGCGTGGTTGTAGACCAGTAAAGTGATTTGACATAACGAATCCACAGGCTCTCTCCATGAAAATCTTCCCAAACGGATCCGATCCATGTTTTACTTGGATCCTTGTAATTTACAGCAATGCGATAGTAGAAGCAACCGGCCATGTGAACTACAAATAGAGTAACCTACAATTACATCATGATCCTATAAGATGGATAGTTTTTTCAAGAAGCTCAAATATTTTATCAAAATTACCGAATTGAATTTTTAATGAGTGTATATACTCACACATATGAGCTTCACGCATCGAACCACAAAGTAATTGTAGTTCCTATCCTTTTCCAATCTGATGTAATTAATGAGAACAGTGAGAACAATGCTTAATATATTCAATTGCAGCTGTAAATGAAGCTGAAGGCTGAAGATAGCATTTAATTACCTTGAAAAGAATTTACTAACTCGCCGGAGACGCCAGAGGCGAAGCATGCTAAAGTACCCGTATGACTGAAGTTTATCAGGCAATATTTCCCTGATAAGCTCAGATGGGATTGTAGAGATAACATCAAGGACCAACCACGATTTTGTATACCTCCAAGCAATCTTTTTCCGGTTATCAACTAGTAGATATGAACTTTTGTCAAGGTATGCAACAAAGAAGGTCAAAACAATATCAATGGCAAAAAATCCGTTGACAACATTATCTGTTATGGCCAGACCCCCACTAGGTTTGCTAAGGTAACCAAACTCAAACGGAGACACCCATGCCGTGTAGAAAACTAGAAATACCAAGAAAGTATCCCATAATCTGCATTGTCAAACATTAAACATTCATTGTTCAGCTATAACAAAACATGGAGAAGGGTATCACAAATTAAACCTGCAATTCAAGAAAAAAAGGCGTTGATCATTAGCTCAACTATAGGAAAGAACATTGAGAAATATCACAATTAAGAGCAACTAATTTCCAACCACATAATATCTCAAAATTAGTGGTAGGATAAATGATGATCCGACCTTGTTCATGTAGACCAAACCCATCACATTACTCGAATCATTGCAACAACAGTTTTAGTCCACATTATATATCCTATGCATGAGGATGGGTGCCTTCATATTTTCATGAGATTTGAAAGTGTAGGACCATCATGGTTTTGGATTGTTTTTGCAAAACCATGGTTTAACACATCTTGGAATTCCAAGACCACTCATTTTTGTTATCATTATGAAGTTTGAAATTCCAAGGCATCTTTCTTCTGATTCAAAATAACCAGATACTTTTTTCATTATCATATCATAATTAAAAAAACTAATGCAATAACCTGTAGCGAGGGTCGAAGGGAGAGAGAATGTAGCGACGGAGAATGACCCGGCGGTTGCTACGAGCGGTGGCACCTAGAGAAGGGAGAATCTCACCGGTAAGGCTAAAATGGCTGGCATCGTCTCCTGATAATTCATCATGTTCTTTGTCACGTATTCCATTATTCCCTTGTTCACTTCCGTGAAGGCTTCCATTGTCCAGCCCCCCTTGACCACAGAACAACACCCTCTTCTTCGTCATTCAAATAACGTTAGAATCAAGAAAACTTAAAAGAAAAGGAAAACAAGAAGAGCCCAACAACGCCCTTTTCTTTGTTTCTTTTTTGGAAAGACATACGTAGTAGGTACAGGGATTTGTGCTAGGACACTGCCATTGTTGTTGTTATTGTTTACAGGTCTCTTTCTAACTTTGGGTGGCTGTGTGCTGTATTCTCAGTGTTTTTTATGGATTGGTGGCAGCGGCCGTCGTGACTGGAAATCTTTCCGTTTCACCTGCACTTATGGCGCTTGTCCCTCCATACTTATCCTATTTAATTCTTGTGATTGTTTTTTTTTTTTAATTTTATTTATTATCATTTTATTGCATTTGTTTTTTTAATTCAATTTTGGTCTTTATTTTTTTATTGCTATTATCTTATAAACGTGAAAGTTGTAGGCAATTTTCTCAACATTCTTGTGTTAAACATTCAACTCATTTGGACTTCTAGAACTCCAGATATGGCCAAAATACCGAACAGTGC